ACTCAAAATAGTTAACTAAGGAATACCCGACGATATTAACACCCGATAATATTTGGATAATTGGAATCACACAGAAGTCAACTACTCGGAAATATTTAGTTTTCTATTACGACGTATATGCAACACTGGACGGGTTTATACGAAACAATGAACATGTTAAATACATGCAGTATAGCGACTTTTATGGACTCAAAGAGATTGGATCTGGTGGTTACGGAATAGTATATAATAATAATGCCAAGTATGAAGTAGGATATTAATATAGGCAACAAACCGTTGTACTCAAACGGTTTAAAAAATTTGATAGAATACTGGAATTATTTATTTCTGAAGTAAGCAATGATTGGTAGTATCAATTAAAGTGATATTTAACTGACTCTACTTATTATTTATTTAATAGTTCAGAAATCACGCCAAGTGTGCAAGCGATAGTACTTTATTCCTTAAAATTCATGGAATTACACAAGACCCAGAGACAAAAGAGCACATGATTGTTATGCAATATGCTAACAATGGCAGTCTTTTGTCTTATTTGGTTCAAAATATTGACAAGTTGACATGGTTGCGTAAATTACGGCATTTGAAGGATATAGCATATTGTCTGCGTACTATTCACGATGTGGGATTAGTGCATTGTGATCTTCATGGTGGAAACATTGTTATGCACAACTCGTTGGGATAAAATCATTGATATGCGATTTTGGTCTCTCACAATCAGTGAATATTCACGCAAGTCAAATTCAATCAGTCAAGGCGTCTTGCCTTTCATTGCACCAGAAGTCTTCCATACTTGCAAATTCACTCAGAAGTCAGATGTGTACTCTTTTGGCATTATTATGTATTTGATTGCTACTGGTGAACCATCATATGGAGATTTGTCATTTGACAAATGTTTGGCAATACGTGTCTGTGAGGGACTGCGACCGTCGATGCCTGATTTTGCACCAGAGGAGTACAAGAAACTTGCCGAGCGGTCTTGTCTGATAAGCGTCCAAAGAACGGAGGGATACTTTATAGTAATATTAACAAGCTTATTGAAGATGCGGTCGGGGACAATTCTGTTGACAACGAGTGGAATGCCGTTTATCATTATCATGTAAAGCTGTTATCCCGTTTCGAGAAGAAGAGAAAATATTCTTGTACGCTTTGACTGACAGGAGATTTGCCTAGACAAAAAAACCAGCTATGATCTGGATTCAGCTGCAGGTATGTTACAAGTTGGTACAATAAAGTCAATTTACAATATTAACACCGTACATTTCTTGTATTTAGAGACTCAACCTTTTTTTGAATAAGCTTGCCAATTCAATAAGCTTATTTACAGTTACACTCAAAGGTTCGAATTATATAATGTGCTTCTACATATGTCATTAACAAGACGTTGAAATAAAATTGTATTTGTAAACTGTCAAGTTGCCTTTGCTGGGTATTGACTATGTAAGAATTACAACACACTATTTATTAAAAGTATATCTCGAGGCTAAATGTTAAATTGATAATGAGTTCGATGCTATGATAAACTAGCAACATTCGAGCTCGGTTCGAAGCATTCTAGCGTCAGCTGGGATGTGTGCTTCCTAATCTTATTTTCAGTTTTTTCCGAATTCAGCTTCGACTTGAGATATCATACGATATCTTATTATTTTAGAAATGAGTCATTTTTTCCCTGCATATGATATTTAATCCCATCGGCAAAATAATAGTGATTGAATAAACCATGGAACCGCACTGAATAAACGCTTCCCTTTCAAATCGAATTACTTCTTCTCTTTCATTGCTAAATATTTATTATGCGGATATACTATAAATGAAAACTATTCTTTTGATCAATCAAGTGCAATAATAAAACATGAGCTTATGTTAAATATAATTAATCAGCTTACGTTTACTCTACTCGTCAAAATACGAAATCAAATTTTGCCCAGTTTAACCTTTAAAATAGATAATTTGCCTTCGGTATTAGTTGCTACTGTTATTATATTGTATCGCACGTACCCTTATTTGAGTTCACATAACAATTTTCGTATAGCCGCGCGGAAATATTACAAATTTAAGTCAGTTACAAATTTAAATGCCGTCTTAGCGAAGCTAAAGGGTGGCATGAAATACAATCAGCATATAACGCCAATTCACAGCAAATCGAGTTTGTCTTCAACAGGGAACCTCTTCGCAGAGGCACCAATCTTTGCGTCTTATCACAACTGGCATTGCACACTCATCGGCTGGACTTTGGCGCATTGTAAGAAATATTTGATAGATGGTCTGCCTCTTAGAGGTAGCAAAATTTACCTCACCGAAAACATTAAACTGGCGGCTGATAAAAAAAATTACCAATAATCCGAGTTTCTTGTACAGTTAAAGTAAGTATTGCAAAGAATAACTACTTTTGTTGTCCCAAACAAAATGTTGGTGGATTGATGAGAGCGACTATTGCGCAGACTTGTTTATTGCGTTGGGTAAAAAGTTATTCAGTGATATTGATCTTGTATAGCGAGAAATAGTTACCTATATAAGTCAGAATCATATTATTAAAAATTTTTTGCGCAATGTCGAGTGTTTATTTGTCTGATTTTGTTACAGCATGTGCCATATAATTCTAGTTGAAATTCATATTTAAGCGTTGGTAAAAAAATAGCTAACAAATATTTTTTTTTTGCAATTAATGATGACGTATGCCAATTGACTATAATATAAATAATAAGTTTGGCGTATTATCATTATCCGACTATTAATGCAGTTACAGTGTTTGACTGACCTTAACCAGATAATGATACCTGCATTGCATAAACGTGTGGCCTTTTATGCTTGTCGATTTGTTAACGTGGTTTATACTCTGTCTACTGTAAATCGCGGTTAAGTTTCGAAAGACTCTTTAGTACTAATGCAAATTCTTTCGCCAAGGTATACGATATGAAGAGTTATGAAAATATTTCTGTTACAATCTTCCCGATCGGAAAAAACGACGTCCATAACAACAGAACAACAAAAAAAGGATATATTATATTAACATAAATAGTTCAACATGTTTTGTTTGGGCAAGTGTTAAAAATTCGTTTCTTACTCCTTATGCATAATTTTAACTCAAGTCTTATTCAGTTAATAACGTCCTGAATCACATTGTTGTTTTGTGGTTATGAAGAAATTAGGGTGCGTGCCAAACTGTGGAATGGATGCTTGCCTGCCTTTTACTGTTACTGTATTAAGTTTTGGAAATTCGCAATATACAATAATGAGTTGGGAGTTATCATGTGCTTGTCTGGGACGTAAGCCTTTGACGCGGTGACATGGAAAGGTCATACAATACACACAATTTTGAATTAATAATAAACAGTCGTCACATATAATTAGCCACGTACTCAATCACGTAAACGGTAATCTTCGTGGCGCCTGCAACAAAAAGAAATGGGTTTTACGATAATGTTGCTACGTTGAAACATACGGCGGAATTTTTTTTTCATAGGTCAATCGATATTTAAGTCTATTACAAGTGTTCAAACAGGACAAGCTTTCACGTTTGTTGACCACGTGTAATTTATTTCTAGATTTCGAGTGTAAGACTTTATTTTATTTCTAGATTCAAGCAGCAATGTATTAGCCCATATACGTACTAGTATGCAAAAGAGTGTTTGAAATATGTGTTTATTACTCTATAAATTGAGAATTCTCATATGGCGCCTATCTTCAGTTGAATGGTCCCTCTTGTACTTTATACAACGCTGAAAAAGTTATTCTTGTTCTGTAAGTAAATTATCTATGAGGCTGATGTCTCGAATGCCCTATATTCATACTTTGGCCATCTACACAATACAGTATTAGCATGTTTGTCTTAATTTATACAAATATATCTCATACGATAAAAGTTTCACAAGTCGGATTGATTAAATTGATAGGCGTGATAGTAAATAGAAATTAACTCGGCAACATTTTTGGTTATCGTAAAAGCATGCTCTCATCATCGTTGTCGATTTGACCGCCGCTGTACAACTAATGTAGGGAGAGTACTATATAATTAGTGTAAATCTTGTGATCAACAGACATTTTAAGTAATTGATTGATATTGCCACTTATTCTTGAACGGATCAAACTATAAAAAAACTTTTCGTTTTTATTTGTGAGCCACTTAAAACGTTAACAGCAGTAACGTGCAAGTAGCCTTTACTTTTTAAGTTGGGATATATTTTTACTTGTGGTGTTTGCGATACAATGAATAGCAAAGCCTATTTTTGTACTTGCGGTATTTTTGGATAACAATATAAGGGAGACAATTACATGGCTATTTAACAAAAGGTGTATCCGCATTCTTGTCAATAATTTTTTATTCTCTGTACTGACATGTCGTTACGTTACGCCGATACCCGACGTAAGTAAAGACAGTCCATCCAATTAAACGTTTAGTTTTTTTTAGCAAAAATTTTCAGATTTTTATGTATTAGTATTAGTATACAAGACAAACAAAAATGTTCATATTAGTATTAGTGTTCTGTTCACATGCTTTGAATTAATCAAGATCGCCTGTTGGCCGATACACCCATGCCATGCTTGCGATCCCAACAAGATAACTAATCATATTAATCAAACACGCAACGAGGCCGGTTGTAGTTAACAGCTTTGCATAGTCGTCTTCACCATCGGCCACCTCGTTCAAGGTTACAATCCAAAGCGAGATGCCAACCATGATATTATAAAGCACATAATAAAAACCTTGCTTTAACCATACGAGATCGATTTTAATGCCCGGCAAATCTACAACCGCATCGAATGGATCCGAGTCGGGCCATATTGAGTTGACAAAAGTGAGATAATATTCTTTTCCTATGAGAAAAATATATGTAATAATGTAAATACAAGTTTGACTGTTCTTTAATATTTATATCGCTGATATTATTGTTACCTAGAAATATTCCCAGCGAATTGGTTATAGTATATATTACAGAGTAATTCCTGGCCGTAATATATATGGCCAACAGACGTAGCGCGACCTCTATCATACACCAGGCAATTAGAGTCGGACGGTTTTTTGTTTCGGCATCCTGTTAACGAATGTTGGAAACGTCAACTATGATGTTATGTTACATCATCGACAGTCAATTATATGTTTTTACACTTACATTTATCATTAAAATTAATATCATAATCACGGTCGACGTTAATATAGTATTGACAATAAGCACTGAATAAACACTTGTGAGGACCCATGGCGAGACATAATCGGCGTGTCTACTATTATTATCGCTATTTGCTTCTCCTATTTCCGTAGTAACAGTAACCTTTTTTGTCACCGTTTGTGGGAAAGTATTGTTCTCAACTGATTTTACGTCAATGAGGACATGAGACAAATCAATTTCTTCAAATGTGGGCGGACCGAGCGAGTCCTCATATTCAGGAGGCGGTGTTGTGGGAATTTGCTGGGTTGACATGCTAAGCGATGGAATAACGTTTAGGGTTGGGGAAATCGAGTAGGGAAAAACTACTTCTGGATATTTGATCACCGCCATGTTATATATTAATGACAAGTCAGCTGTGTGGAACTCTGTGTGTAAACTTTTGTTTCCCATATCCTGTAAAACATGAGTTATTTTGGTATATTAATATATACGGTAAATCTTCCCATTGCGTGCAGTGCCAGTCCACATATGCACGGGTTAGCGTTTTATTAACAGCACGTGGTTTATTAGGAACGTAATTATATTGCTTAAATGACAGACTATGATGCAATGTGTAAACGATTAGTAAGAAATCTGCACACAAGCCACAAAGCTTTACCAAATACACTATGCGTTGAATATCGGCGGTGGCACCAAATAGGAAAAGCCTCATATAAAATCTATATTAAATATGCGGATTTTTTTCTGATCAATAGTTAAAAAACTCTTTACACCATCACAGAGTAAGGTTTTACATAGCGTTTATTTTCGATCACCTTTAATATGCACCTTTGAATCGCCAAGGGGTTTAAACAAAGCAAGCCAAGCTACACTCGTAGATTGTACTTATACAGACGTCGACAATGACACTATTCAAATAGACACTTTTTTGGAAAGGCGGAGAAATATTGCTAAAAATAGTTTTACATATGTGAACGCACGTTTTGTCGAAAAAGTATCTCTATTCTTTTTATCTTTTTAACAAATGTGAAATTGGTATGTTTTACTATTGAAAGTGATCGGCCTTTTCCGTATTGGGGACACAACCAAAATTAATAAGCATTGTACCACATATGAATATCCCACACAGCATGTAAATAGTGATACTTGGTTAACCGATACGATTATGCGCCGTCGTTGACTGGGATGTAATTGTTAAGACAAATTTTAACAAGTAGCACAGCACAGTTAGTAATCGGATTTTTTTTTATTCATACACGACTAGTTTCAAAAATAACTTTGACCGAAAGATATCATTTTCGTGAGCTACTTTGAAGTCTCAGGGTGGATATTATTGGATGCGTTTTTTACAGAACTGACATCATACGTGTGTATAACTTCAACAACTATGATTAAAATGTCTTGTTAGCTACACGGAAAGAGGAACCGTTATTCGGTTATTAATGCGTACGAAATCTGCTTCTTGCCAGAAATGCTGATTGAATTACATAATCATTATCCAACAGCGTGTGCTTTATAACGTGTGATAATTTGCTTTTAGTGTAATTTTGAAGGAAAGATTTGAAGAAAGCTGGAATGTATGCATGAAGTACTTATTCTATACTTTATCGTGTTAGACTTAAATTGACATGTTAATATGATGAATTGGGACAAACGCATGTGTTTCAGTAATATGTAACAACTAATGCGTTTTCGACAACTTACATTACCATAGTCATGTGGTGATGGGTATATAAGTGGATTAGTGAATGACTAATAATTAATAATAACAAACATGCCATACCCTGACAGTTAAATAACAAAGTCGTCCAATTTAAGCTCATCATGTGTTCGATTGTGGTAAAAAAGATATGGAAAATTTAACAGTGAATGCCTCATCTGATAATATGTTTGATAAATTATCAGTATTTCAGAACTGAAGATGTATGTTTAACAATCGTTCAATACATCATACTGAAATCATTGACTGACGTGTAGAATTACTCGCCCAGAGTTGGACATATTACGATCGATATTCGATGTGTTTACTTCGAACAAAAGCTTGTTCGCCAAGTCTTATTGGACGCGGTGGTACTTGAGGGGAAGAATCATAACTCTTGCCGAGTATGGTATAGATCTATAACCAATTACACGTGCTCTTCGCTTTTGGATTTCCTATGTTTCACAACACTTGGAGGGATCGGGAATCCAGCTAACCAATATGAGAAAGTCATCGCCATCACCGAGTAAAAAACTTCTATTACAAGAAATAACCAATTTAACGTTAATGAAGCATGTATGTAGCATTGCCGATTAGCAATAAACCGAGAGAATCGCCATACTGTCACACAGGCGGATAATTTTAAAGATAATCGTAACATTATGACGAATAATTTCCTGTAAAATGTACCGAGAATTGCGCTGATTTCATGATAATCCCGAGCTTTAATTTATTATCAAGGACAATATAACTTACGGCTTATATACAAAGCACAGATTTTGTTCCGCAATTTTACGATACGGGTTGTCAATTGGCTATTACGATAAAACTTCTCTACTGCGCATACTCAAATTGTGGTTACTGCGATACTAATTGTTAATGATGAATAAATTTCTTTTTTAGGTTTGAAATAAACCACTTTTTAACATCTCAGAAATAAAAAGCGTGCAATATTCTTGTCCTTCCTTTCCCGGTATTCGCATTTAATTGCTATTAGCCAAATATTGTTTATTTCAGTATGCAATAATTTACTATATGAAACATAATCTCCAAAACTGTTTGAGAAGGGCAAAATTAAAATTATTCGGACTTTTAAAATCATGTTGTTAGTCGAGGACATTCACCATCAAACGTTTGACAACTTGATCGCACTAGTAAAAATAAGCTTGCATGGATTCTTTACTCGCAATAGAGTCAAGTCAAATCGACAACGTCTACTGTGCAATTCGCAAACGTGTCCACGGTTGTCTTAAGACTCGCAACTCTTGGGAAAAGGGATTTGTCACGTGTGATAATACTATTATATGGTCGCTGATCGTTTTACCATTGTTATACCCTCTATGGATTCTGCCCCGCATGTGGAACCCTCCGATGCAGTCCCGTGTGGTGCATTTGCGGGCATGAGAATTATTTGATGGATGGACTAGCAACAATGGGCAACTTGATGAAATTACAAAGAAATCGCAATTACAAACAAATTCTGCAAACGATGCCTATTTGGAATGGATTCCATTTGACCGTACTGTATTGATGATAAGAGGCCTTACGTAACCGTATGTGATTTTTACCTTTTAATAGCACCGTAAAATTGATTCCGCTTGAGATAACCGATGAGACAGATAATTCATTTGTAACAAGGCAAATCAAACTATTTGTATTCAGATATGCATTGCGCTTTCTATTGTACAAGTAATGACTTGTCATTGTTTTTGCTAGTTGTGTGATGCGCATCCAGATATTTTTGACAGAGATGTTTGGATTTACCGTTGGATTTACATATGACACACGTGTACAAAAGTATCACGCTCGCTGTTTGGTTCTGTCTGGCATTGTACAGACTAATTCGATCCCCACGTAAATACATTCTGTTATTGATGTAAAACATTGAGACCTCTTCATTGGACGACTGACACCGACTCTTTGGATTCATTTATAACAGAGTCGTGGCATAATATGAAAGCTGAATTCGACGCGCATATACAATTGATTGAGTATTCTCTATTGCGATGTATACAAGGAATGGTGAAATTGTTACTGCGTGAATGCACGCATAAGGCGTATTGGTTGGAACCAACATCGCGTTGCGTGTATGGATGTGGATTATAGTCGACGCACAGAATACTCGGTCGTTTGATTTTTTTATCGGACTATTATTTCACGTGTGATAGCCGGCGAAATCGTATAATGTATCTCGTGCGTGCGTTATTGTAACTAGCAGGATTTGTTTTTACACAAATAGCTGACTGAAGAATATCCGGAAATATTGACTCCAGATAATATTTGGATTGTTGGAATTACGCAAAAACCATCTATTAAGGACTATTATTTGGCGTTTTATAATGATCTATATGCGCCGTTGGACATATTCACCAAGGTATATGAGTATGCTGATTTTGATATAATTGCATCTGGCTGTTATAGGACAATCTATACTGTACTGCCAAATATAAACGACGTGACAAACTCATTGACACGCCAGAAATTGTTGTTTCAAGTGCTTTGATCAGACTTGCTGGGATTACGTGTATTTATTTCCGAAATAAGCAGTTTTGTTGGTAGCATGAATTAGAATGATTTTATTAATTTATTCTTAATAGTTTAGAAATCGTGCCACGTGCTTAGAATATGAATTCCTTCGTATTAATGGAGCGACCCAAAATCCAGTAACACAAGATTATACAGTATGCTAATAGTGGTAACCTATCGTCTTATTTGGATAAAGTTGACGTGGAAGATAAAATTACACTGTTTGAAGGAAATCGCTGGTGATGTGTGGGCTATCCATACTGCAGGAATTATGCATTGTGATCTTCATGGCGGAGTATTGCATAATAATAGTGCAAAAGATTTCCAAGTACGCAAACCATTCATATTAACATGCGGTTTTGGTCAGTGAATGCATGTGAATCAAAGTCAACCATTTCAAGGCGTTTGCCTTTTTATCGCACCAGAGATCTTCCGTACTCGCAAATATTGGTATTATGATTCGGCACCGAAAGCATACAAAAAGTTCGCCAAACAGTGCCGTGATGCCGATCCTGACAAACGACCAAACAAAGTTTGGGATGATATTTATGATGTAGAGATCGATAATAGGGATCCCCAACGATATGTTAATATGGAATACCGTAATAATGTCCGACTCTTATTACGCGTTGAGAAAAACAAATGTTCTAGCAAGCTCTTGTCTACTGTACTGGTGATCTGTACTAAACTGAAAATCAAAAATCAAGGTCAGACAAAGAATGTGCAATATTAGTCATAGCTTACTTAGGAGTTCGACATATGTCGACCTGGTAAAACATTCTGACTCATATAAAGGTGACCACACATAGAGATAGTTGTATTAATATAGGACATTGTAAGCCTCGCGATTGATTGTACTGTCGTTTTTTACCGAGTTATTTATGTGTTGGTAACACAACAAAAAAATATATAGTAAAAATGTTTCACTCGTCTTTAGGTAATTGATGGAGAGAAATATTCAATACTTTTTGTTTTAAGACTGGACATTGTCCTACCAGTAGAATTATGTCCTGATGCATTGTCTCGGAACATTTAGCAATGCAATGCTGTATATTCGCATGCATGTAACTTTATTCAGTAATGTTACGTACCACTACAATTGATACCATCTATTACGAAGTATCTTCTGACCCAAAAGTACTTAGTTTGGATGATATTTGTAAAA